CTTGTGTGCGTGTGTGTGAGCGTGCCCCCGTTAGTGTGTGCGTGTGTCACATGTTTGCTATACACAACTCCACCAAAGGAAGCAGGTGTGTGCCAGACTGTTTCGTCGAACTTTCATCGACTCGTCAGGAGGTTGAACCCCGACAGTGTGGTGTCTCCCAGAGCGGAGGTGAGCAGAGGCGGAGAAGTGATGGAGGCGGAGAGGAAAAAGAGAGGAGATGGCGGGAGGAGGTGGACAGGAGGTGGGCGGAGGCCGAGGAGAGATTGGTGATCCCAAATTTCCCAATGGCGGGAGGGAGGKGGGCGGAGGGAGACAAGAGGTCGGTGCTGGCCATGGGGGGGTGGGCGTGCACCATTTTTTTTTTTTTCCTCTTTTAAAGGTAGGCAGAGGGATGGCAGATGTGCGGGCAGCGGAACGGAGGCTGGAGTGGAGGTGGAGAAGAAGTGGGAGGAGGCAGAGAGGAAATGGAGGGAGGAGGCGGACGGGAGGTGGCGGAGGCGGGCTGGAGGTGGCGGAGGGCCGGAGGCAGAGAGGTGATGGCGGGAGGAGATGACAGGAAGAGGCGGACGTGAGGTGGCGGAGGCGGAGGAGAAGTGGCGGAGGCGGGGAGGAAAGAGAGAAAGGAGATGGCGGGAGGAGGCGGATGGGAGGTGGAAGAGTTGGAGAGGTGATGGCGGGAGGAGATGATAGGAGGAGGCAGATGGGAGGTGGCGGAGGCGGAGGAGAAGCAGCAGAGGCAGGGAGGAAAACGATGGCAGGAGGAGGTGGACAGGAGGTGGCGGGCCTGCAACAGGCCAATGCGCCGCCCTGCAATGAGCCAATGGCCAGCAGCTGCCGGGGCGATTCTTTTACGGCGGGCCCTTTTTTTCAACGGGCGCGGCGATCCAGGCCGCCCGCAGTCTTACCGGGGCGATGGCTCAGATTGTCCCACGATCTTAAGACTTTTAGATCGTGCGACAATCCAGGGCGACGATCCAGGGCGACGATCCAGGGCGACGATCCAGGGCGACGATCCAGGGCGGACGCCCTGGATTGTCGCACGATCTTAAAGTCTTAAAGTCTTAAGATCACAGAAATCCGGACCGTCGGGTCGGTAGGACGCCAGGCAGCCCGGATAGCCCAATTCTCACGTTAGCGATTTCTAGAAGTGTAGGGACGAGTACCAAGAAAGCAACGCCTTCACAATGCGTAATAAGTCAGTGATGACAAAGATGAATGCTCCTGCACATGTCTACAACCGGGTATGAGGTTCACATGCACGGCAATGGTCCCCGTCGTAGCAATGAACATCACCACAGTCCTGTCCAGGTACAACGAGGTACATCAGGTACCCATGCACAACAATGAACATTGTCATGGTCCTGTGCCTCCTCTCTAGCAATGAACATGGCCATGGTCCTGACCAGGTACAACGAGGTATATGAGGTCCACTAACACAGTTGGAACTTCACACATGCAAATAATATTCCCTAAACTTATATGGGCAGCAAATTCACAAGATGTGAATTTTTTTCTTTTTGTTAAATTCATTTCATAATTTTCATTTATTAAATTTTGTTTATTTCATAATTTTTATTTGTCTCATTCACTTGTTTCTTGGGGAGGCCTCTAGGGGCTCTATTCACACCAACAGATAGAGCCATATTGCCGGCAGCAAGGACCTTCTCAGCGATGCCATCCACGCTACCGTCTTCCCCGAACATAACTCACCCTGGTAATGAATATATACACGCTATATTTCCAGTCACGTACAGCCAAAATGAGGGTGCATTGTGTGCGGTGAAAGACAGTAGAACGCACCCAACAACACACTAGAACCTGCAATGTAACAAATAAAAAATGTGTGTTGGATGCAGCCATATTGCTGTCAGCGTCCTTCATGGTGATGCCACCCAAAAACAATAGAACAGGAACACATGCGGGATGTAACCATATTGCCAGACGCAAGGACCTTCCCTGTTATGCTGTCTGCACTAGAACGCACCCAACAACGCACTACAACGCACCCAACAATGCACTAGAATCTGCACCATAACAAATTACAAACATGGGCTTGATGGCACTCGACGACACGAGAAGAGTAACAAAGGTCACCCATGACTGGGGCTGAGCCTTGGACTGCTTTGACCGAAGAGAGAACTACAGACGACCGTCTTCACCTGAATAGAACCCGTGGTCATTAGAGATGTATTTGGGGCAACTATATGTGCAGATACCGCAATGATGACTATGCATTCCATTCGGTGAAGACAGTAGATCCCACATTACAACACAGATGCACCCGAGGAGATGAGGAGAGAGGAACAGAGGAACAGAGGAAGAGAGGAGAACAGGAGAGGCGGCAACAAGAGGATGAGAGGATGAGAGAAGAAAACAAGAAGAAAATGAGAATTAACATCGGAGGAAGCAAAAGGGGAAAGAAGCAGCCCCCAAAGGGCATAGTGGGTTCGACAATTTCTTTCCCTGGCTCCTGTGGATTTGGTAAAATGCCCTTGTTTGATTTGGTAAACTTTCCTTGTGGATTTGGCAGCCATGACCAGGTAGATGAGGTGAAGAGTTCAAACTCTGGTAAAATGCCCTTGTGGATTTGGTAAACTGCCCTTGTGGATTTGTTCAAGGGTGTTTTTTCCCTCTCTTCTTGCAAAATGGGTTTTTCACCCCTCTCAGGAAACGAAAGTGAAAAATCGCGACCAACTATCCCAGGTGTGCTAACTCGGTGCCGCGTCGGGGCAGGCTCGCGACGTGAAGTGGGCATCGGGTGACTGCCATAGCCGCAGGTTTGTGTGAGGACGACGTAGAAGTGGTGGGGTGGAAGGCGCCATCAAGGAGCAGGGTTGCAGCGTGATAGAATTTTGAACACGCTGGTGGGCTGCCTCCTGCTCGTACGACTTTTTCGGCGCACCGAAGATGCAACTGACATCGACAAAGTGATGGACACGAAGGAAGGAGAAAATGTACCATACCTGCTAGAAGAAGAAGGGGAAGTGTGGGCATGGAAGCTACGAGGAGCAAAGAGGCTCTACACTAATAAGGGTGGACAAGAGAAGAAGCTATTAGAAAGCAAAGAGAGACGAAGAGATATAATTGGAAGATCAGAGGAGAGACAAGTTTTGAAACAGAAATAGGAGAAGGCGAGGAGGACCGAAGCGACACGACGGAGAAAACGGAGGCGAAATGTGGAACTGCTGAGCAAGAAGACCCTCTGGGCACTGGCCCTCGATCCTTTGGGGCCCCTGGGGATTGCCCCCGGTGAAGGAAGGGGTTCCAACCCAGAGGTGAGTGTCATCTCTCAAATCCCGAATTCGAACACCCAGGTCCCGTCCTTCCCCGATCCCTCTTCCCTACCAACTTCTCCTCGCTCCCCTTGTCCCCACCTTCTCCCCGATCCCGACGGTCTCGATCGTTTTCCCTCCCACTCCATGTCGGATGCTCACCCGATCCCGGCGGCCTTGATTCCTTCCTCCCGCAAGACACTCTCCCCTCAAAATCCTGATCCCAATGCCCCCCTGATTCCTGACATACTCTTCCCTGTGAGTATCGTCCCTCCCTCTCTCGATCACCTCTCCCCCACTCCAAGTTGGACTGCTTATCCCCGATCCCGACGTCCCCGCCTCTTTCCCCCCCGGCCTTCTCCTTCCCCCTGTCCCGATCGCGCCCCCGTCCACTCCACGTCAGATGCTCGTCTCCACGAGTGTCTTCTCTCCCTCTCCTGATCGCCTCCCCCCCACTCCACGTCGGACTGCATCCTCGTTTCCGACGTCCTTGCCCCTTTCCCCCCGGCCCATATTTCATCCCGACCCCCCCTTTCTCCGCGAGTATCTTCCCTCCCTCTCCCGATCGCCTCTCCCCCGCTCCACGTTGGACTGCATCCCCGATCCCTACGTCTCCGCCTCTTTCCCCCCCCGACCCAGATTTGTCCCGGCTTCCCCTTCTCCCTGCTCACCGGTTCTCCTCCCCCCTGTCCCGATCGCTCCCCCTCCCACTCCACGTTGGACGCTTGCCCGATCCCGTCAGCCTTGATTTCTTCCTCCCGCAAGCCACTCTCCCCTCATAATCCCGATCCCAACACGCCCCGTTCCTGACATACTCCTCTTCGCGAGTATCTTCTCTCCCTCTCCCGATCGCCTCCCCCCCACTCCATGTCCAACTGCATCCTAAGCCTCTCCCCCACTCCGAGTTAGACTGCATCCCCGATCCCGACGTCCCCGCCTCTTTCCCCCCCGGCCCATATTCGTCCCGGCTTCCCCTTCTCCCTGCTCATCGGTTCTACTCCCCCCCCCGTCCCGATCGCTCCTCCTCCCACTCCACGTCGAAAGCTCGTCTCCGCGAGTATCTTCTCTCCCTCTCCCCCACTCCACGTTGGACTGCATCCCCGATCCCGACGTCCTTGCCTCTTTCCCCCCCCGGCCAGATTCGTCTTGTCCCCCTCCCACTCCACGTCGGATGCTCGTCGATCCCGTCGGCCTTGATTTCTTCCTCCCGCAAGCCACTCCCCCTCATAATCCCGATCCCAACACGCCCTTGATTCTTGACATACTCCTCTCCGCGAGTATCTTCCCTTCCTCTCCCGATCGCCTCCCGCCCACTCCACGTCCGAATGCATCTCGATCCCTGACACACCCCTTCCCGTGAGCATCTCCTTCCCCTCCCACCCCACGACGGACGCTCGCCCGATCCCGTCGGCCTTGATCCCTTCCTCCCACAAGCCACTTTCCCCTCAAAATCCCGATCCTCGACCCACCTCCTCAACTCTTGGTCTCTCTCCCCGATCATCTCTTCCACCACCCACCTGGTCCCTGACCCGACGTGGGCGCCCTTGATCAAACCTCGCGCCACCCCCCCCACGTCCCCCCTCTTCCACCTTTGGTTTCGCCATCGCTCCTCAAGCTCCCTCCAGATAATACCCCTCCCGCGATTACACCCTCCCACAACCTCGCACTCTCGCGCAGTGGTATTCTGACACTTCCCTACACTTCCCTACAGACATGGCTAGCCTTAAGAATGAAGCTAGGAAAAGAAAAGGAAGAGACCAATCACGGATGATTTGGTACCAGGGAGCCATGCAACAATCACACGACTGAATGGAGCTGGAGACCTCGGGGGGGGAAAGAGAGAATGGAGATGGAAACCGGGGGAGAAGCTTCCTCCTCCTCCCAGCCCTCCCCTTTGGATAACATAGATGTCTTGCAGTCCTGTTCATCCCTCTCTCCAACTGAACGATTGAAGGACATGAAGGAAATGAAGGAAGGCCAGTCTCACCCCTCATGGGCTGACAAACTCAAAAAAGTATACTCAGGTCAAACCCTGTCAGTTAAAAGAAATGGGGAGGGGGAAGGTAATCTGGAAATTCCCCTGGATAACATAACCACGACCTCAACTTTCTTTCTTACAAAGTTTCTGGCCAACCAAGAAGACAAAATCATCAGTCAGGGGGGGGGAAAAACACAAGGTTAAGACCCTCCCCAATAGCATGATCAAGGAAAGGGATGAAATTTACACCCGCCACGCTAACACTTGGGTCTTCTATGATGATGCGGCATATAAGTCGGCCAACGACAAGGTTGGATGGATCAGGAAGCGTCTTGCAACCCTTAAAGGATCAGAGGAGGGAGCACGAGACTTCTTCCTGATCCGACCCATCTCTTCGACGGTCTTTACCGTGATATGTATGTTCAACTCGGATAAGCGGATCCTAGACTCATGGCGAAGTATACCCTGCGGACGTTCGGAAGTCCGGATCTTCCCCTGGTCTCCCCCCAAACAACAAAAACCAGAGGAGAGGGGGGAACAATTGATGACTGACTACTATTGGGTGGAATTCCGCCACGTACCCATCGAGATCCAAGGGGCCTTCGTGCAGAAACTCGCCCAAAAGTACGAGATCATTGATTTCATTATCCCCTCCCCCCCCACGTAGCCCCTAGGGACGACTATCTCATGGTGGCCCTGGACATCCCCAACGGCCGCATTTTTACCATCGACGATGTCATTTTTTTCCGAGTGGGGGGGAGAGACTTCATAATACACAGCACACAAAACACGACCTTGGTGTTTCAAATGCCAGGCATACGGATACCTCCCCCTAGAGCCTGACTGTCCCCACCATCTGGCAAAAAGAATTAGATCAACGGGCCGCTTGTTGCCCGACCCGATTAAAGACACCTGGTGGAGGACAGTCGATGCACGTCACGAAGGATGGGTCTACGTGGATGAGCCCCGAGAGGGAGGAGGAGTAAGGGGGTGGGAATGGGAGAAAGGCGATGCAGTGAATTGGATCACGAAGCCTCCGGACCAATGGACCCCCCATAAATCGGTGGAGGCGCACATGGAAAAGACCACCACCCCCTTACAATCCCCAAAGGACGCTACACAACACAATCGTCAGTCCACTTTAGATACAGCACCAAACACAACAGGGGTTGAGGCCCGGACGCAGCCCCGGACAGAGCCCAGACCCCAGGATTTCATTACCCCGGCTAACATGGGGGAACTGTGGCAAACTCCTTCCTCCGAGAAAAAAACCTCCCCAGACAAACGAGGTAAATTGCCACATAAACAGAATAACCACGAAACTGTTAACCAGCTTCAGGTGCTGGTAGGGGACAAACAAACAGCAACACAGCAGCTGGGGGAACCTTGGCTTCACGAGCCTCCCCAACAAAGGACAGAAGGAGGGGAAGACAAGGGACAGGAAACGCAGGAAATCCTACGCGAGGAATTTACCGCACGAAGGATTAAAGGGGGGAAGGGGGGGGAGAAGAGGAGAAGGAAGGGGGAAGGGGAAGAAGGGATGACACAAAGACACGAAGAACAATCAACACTGGATGGGGGGTTCCACCAGGTGATTAGGCTGCACACCCAGGGGGAAGGAACAGTTGGGGACCCTACTCAGGACCTCACCACAACAGAATTCCCCCAACCGCGTGATGTGGGAAAAATAAAAAAAGCAGGGGAAGGGGAAGAGGGGAAGGGGAAGAGGGGATGGGATAGAGACACAAGGAGCAATGGGCCCTGGAAGAGGGGGCCCACCGGGGGATTGGGCTGTACACCCCAAGGAAGGAAACAGCTGGGGGCTCGGCTCATGAACTCGCCAAAACAGAACCCTCCCAAGAAGCGCACACAGACCCCTTCTTCCAGGCTTTTGGACCTCGTCCTATGGATTGGGAACCTTTGGCAATACCTACGGACGAGGAAATGAAGGACAGCACTCCAGAAGCCTGGGGATTTCAAGGGGAAGATATAGAGACCAGGCTAAGGAATATGGCAGAATGGTTAATCAGCCAACTTTGGATCCTATACACAGGCCAAACAGAAGCATATTGGGATCAAGCATACATACAACTTTTCTCCTTACTGGACGAAAGTCCGAGCATGAAATTGGCTCTGGAGCAAGGTCTATCCCAGGAAGCCGACTGGCAACAGACTTTGAACAGAATCTGGGTCATTGTGCATAGGAAATTCCAACCCCTCACCACCGCAGAAACACCCAACGCATCTGAAGTAACGGGAGAGCCTTGGGAAGAACCTCCTTCGCACCCCCCAGACCAGCCACCCTTGGACCAGCCACCCCCGGACCAACCACCCCCGGACAAGGGTACACAACAGGCTACACCTGACCCCCAGCCCAAACGAGGAGAGAAAGACACAGCAGAAGCAAAAGGAACAAACCTCTCCAAGCGGCCCAAATTACGCCACCTGATCGAAAAAGGTTTGTACCACAAGAACCTACCAAAAGGGAACAGAGTGTTAGTATTACCAATCAGAAGAAAAAATGGGAAGTGGGAATTGGGCTTGTCACCCGCGGAGTCCGAAGACCCATATACCCCTGCTTATGGAGGAATGACACTTCACGGGTGGCACACGCAGCGGGAAGGTGCACTTATGACTCATGAAGTCGTAGAGTTCATTGTGAGCCATTATGAACCGGGGGCAATGACCACCATTAGTGTATCAACCGAGGGCCTGAAGATGTCATACAAGGATCTTTACGTGAGATTCGAGGAAAACAAGGAGGCAGGGCTATAATGGTGCACACACAATACGTTCCTAGATACCCAACAAATAAAGTTCAAACCAAGCAATATCTGGTCGGTTGACGAAGTACTAACATGCATCTGCACGATATTAAGAAAAAACATCCTCAATAGAGGGGTAGATTGGGAAGCACAGGAATGGGATGCAATTACCAAACAGATAAGGGAGGGTCAAGGGGCACACAATCACAATCAACGACGAATTGGGTAGATGTGGTGTATGGAGAAAACAAAAGGTGGAAACGCACCCTGCAACATGCAGATTTAAACATTAGAACAATCAATGTGAATGGTCTAGCATCCCGCAACCCGGAAAAAATCCAAGCATTATGGGATTTGATGAGGGGTGTCGGGGGAACATCATGGCCGGACGCAGTCAACATCCGAGAGACCCATCTAATGGACACACCAGAACATCGCAGAGCCCACAAACAAGCTTGGCCCTTTCAAAGTTACCAAGCATTTGCCCGTGGCCCTGGGAGCTCGGGGTTGGCAATCTGGATCTCACCCGAATCACGACTGGAGTTCTCTGTTGGCCCGTGTTGGGAAAGGGACATGGAGGAGGGACGTTGGGTCAAAATACTTGGCATGCTGGAACTAGAGATAGTATGCATAGTATCCATATATGCCACAAATACGATCCAGGAAAGAAGGTCTTTTTTTGAGAAATTAGAAACAATCCATACCCCAAAGGTTCCCCTAATACTAGCAGGAGATTTCAATGCCGCACCGGATAGACGGTTGGACCGATGAAGAGTCTTCCATGCTACAGCATACAACGCAGAGGAGGACGAGAGGATGATGAGGGACTTGTGCACCCCTCTCTCGCTTTTTGACACATTCAGGCGTAGGCCGCGTAGCTACCCTACTGAACGAGCATTTACTTGCATCCAAAACAACGACCCCACCAGACTCTCCAAATCCCGGATTGACTTAATCTTGGCTTCGGAAGAGCTGGGAGGAGGGCTCTCGGGGTCAGCAATATTACCAACAAGCCCACATCTCGGTCTCGATCAGAGGATGTGCATGGCAATGTGGACGTTTCGCAAACGGCCAGACCAAGGGGCTAACTACTATAAACTTAATACCTCCTTACTCAGAACCGACTCCTTCCAGGATTACTTAAAACAGGTCTGTGGATTCTGGAAAGCAACCCGCCTTCAACAAGACTCGCAAATTACCTGGTTTAATAATGGTCTATTCTATTTGGCCAAAAAAAGTAATGAATACTCCAAACACCTAGTTGCTCTAAGATACCAAATAGAAATCACAATTATGCAAAATTTAGTGAGTGCAGAACAGGAACAAAACTCGCAAGGGCAGAAATAGAGAATGGTTGAGCTTCAAATCAGCATACAAGAATATAAGGATCAATTATTTCAACATGCACAGTATCGATGGCAAGGAGCCCAAACCAGGGCAAGATTCTCCAGACTCGCGATCGAAGGAACGATGGACTCCAAGTTTTTCAGCTTAGCAAAAGCACAGGTCCAAAGAACCACGATAGAGGCGTTGTATGAACCTAACGTCAGAGAATCAGACCTGACTGTAACCACAGCCCGTTGTACAAAGATAACATACGACTTTTATAAGGATATATTCTCCTCACATATAGACAAATCGAACTTGCCGCGGCATAACCGCCTTATAAAAGAACTCCTGGATCCACTGGAGAAACCGTTA